GCTTCGTAAGAATCGCAATCATTTCGAAGGAGTTTCCATTCATTCAAATCATCTTTTATTCCTTTCATTCAAGAAACAAGTGCCACTCCTTTTACTTTGAACTACTCGCCCACTTTGATTACTTTCTGCCTAGATCTGGTACTAACCATATGAAGTCGGAATAAATGCAATACCGGTTTCTTTTTAATTCAGGAGTCGGGCATAGAGCATGCTTGTTTAATCTGATTATTTTCAGTTAGCTTGAATTCAATTGCGTTGCTAAGTTGAACTGATGGATTGTTTCGAAGTTTTAGCTTTTCATGTGAACTTTTGTTTTCCGCGGAAGAAAGTTCTGAAGTGCTCTCTTACAGTTAATTACTTTTACGTCCATTGCATAACATCAGTTTGATAATAATATTGTCCTTATTTGCTCTTTTCACAAGTAGTTACTATTCTTTTAATGACAGTAGCAAAAACTTAAGGATTTCAAAATATCTTGTTTTTTAATAAGAAAAATTTAGATTGTATATAATCTTAAATTTTTATATTATTTTTAATACTATCTTTGTTCACAGTTACTTTCGAGAGTTTTGAAATATTTCTCATGTGGTAAAACTTATTACCATCTTGATATTGCAATATGAACATTTTAAAAGTAATATTATTGTAAATAGCTTCATCTCTATCATTTAAAGCGAGTAACAAATTCCAGTCCAAGTACATTTAAATATCAATTAATAATTAACACATTACAATTTAGTTGCCATAGAATTTATCAGCAGACCAGGAATTCTCAATTCAATTCCTTGTCGAATCAAGATTATTTTGAAGTCCATTTAAGTAAGAAACTTCTCATGGTATTCAACTAGAACTGGAAAGTATAGAAACTTGTTTTACAAAGCTTATAAATTTAAAGTGGGTAATCGAAAGTTTTGATAGATTCTCTGATAGGTTTATAGGGTTACTGTAGGAACTGAAGCTAAAACCCCACAGACACTACTTAGACAGATAGCGAGCTCGCACAGTACTGAAGAAGGCTTTAAATAACCTTTTTATTTTAGTTTTACATTGACCATAAAGAGCAACGTATGTTTACAGACGAAACCACCACTTCTGGCTATACCACAACAATAACAAACAATTAAATTCTGACGTTGATAACATAGTCTAAGACTACACATTCAATAAAATAAGTTGGTTCAAGTGGTATTTTACAGGCGCGCTGTTTAACTCATCGGCCAGCGAGACTGCTAATGCCGGAATATTAATAATTTGAAACAAAGGTAACAGTGAGACGCGATTACACGAAACTCCCTCCCTAAGATTTCAAACCCTCAATTTAAATACATTGGACGTTAATTTGTATTCTGGTGAGGAATACGAAAAGGAAACGTTACAGTAAAGACCAAAATCACTATAATTGGTTAATTAGCATGAGATACACTACAGGTTAATAGTCTAAGTATTTCTCTATAGATCTAGATACAAATTCAAAGCCTGGTATTGGTCAAAGTCAAGCCTTTATACGTGCAATCTTATTTATTTATATAATTATGGTAATTATTTCAGTATTGGTGTAGTAGTTTATTAATCTTTCAAATAAAAAAAATCTGATGTAGACATCACATGACTTCCTAGAACGGCCTCTTAAATATTCTTTTTAGAACAACAATAAACTTATATTAAATACTGTTAGATATTTTCCGCAATAAACTAATATTAAATATTGTTCGATATTTATTGTTAGACTAACTACTATATATATAAACTGTTATATTATATAAGTCATTAGATTTCGTTATTAGTTGAAAATTATTTTTTTTTAATTTGGCACTGCCAAAAAATGAATATTTTAGTCATTTAAAACATTTCTGTAATTGGAAGTGTATTTACTACCAGTGATTATGAAAAGAAAGACCAGGTTAGGTCTTTTAAGCCGGGTAAGGAGGTTGTTATGTATATATATAAATATATATATATATATATATATATATAGTAGAAATTTTTAAAAAGATCTTCAACTTATTTCTGCGCAAAATGCAGCTGGAACATTAATTAATCATAGCCTATTAAAGTAAGTAATTTTGAACTAACGTTTCAAAAACTTGAAATAAATTAAAAATTTGTTCTATTTGAAATTTTTTAATAAAATATGTTAGTTTTTATAAATGAATTTTTTTTAAATTTCAATATTTTTAAATTAGAAGAAAGGTTGAAAACAACAGGAAATGGAGTTTAATTGAAGTCTGATCTATCTCTTCTTGACATCGTTGAATCAGATTTTAATTGTATTTGTTTTTTATGCTTTTCTATTGTTTTCAAACTTTCTTCTAATTGAAAAATACTAAAATTTAAAAAAATTTCATGTACAAAAACTAACATTTTTTGTTAAAAAATTTCACAATAGAACTAACTTTAAATTTATTTTCTTTCAAGGTCTTTGAAAGGTTAGTTCAAAATTGCTTATCTTTTTCTTTTGCCTATATAGATATATAGATAGATATAGATCTATATAGATAGATATATGTTTGGCACTACCGACTGTAATAAAAAAAAAAGAAACTGCACAAGTAGATGTTATAGCAGCCACATATGCAAAATTTCAAATTTCTGCAGCTAAACGTTTTTGAGTTTTGCGAGATACATACATCCGTATGTACATAGAGACATCATGAAAAAAATCCCTTTTTAATCCATTTCACAATCCGGTTTGAAAAAAAAGTCTTAATTCTATCAGTACGAAAAAGTTACCAAAAAATCGCCCAAATCGATTCGGGAACCGTTGAAATATAGCACCCGAAACCTTCCAAGATTACACTTCCTATTCTCCGTATAAGGAAGTAAAAATACCAGCAATAATTTTCCGGGAGGAGGATTTCTTGAGTTTCACTTTGTTTGGCTGTTTTGTAGCAGGAAGAACACGAATAGAAAATAGATTCATGTTTAACCTTTAAGTATTTTGACTTAAGTTGTCGCATAACTACTGTGAGCGGTCTCTCAGACCGCTTCTGCTAAAAACAAAATAAGATATTGTTTTACTTTTCTTATTTGAATAAATGTTATTTAATTTCATATATTTAACTTTTTCATGAAGATATAAAGCAATTTTTATACTTAAATCAGTTCATTAGAATAAAATATATACTATGATAATAATTCCTTTGCTTACGTATCTGAATGGAAGAAGTAAATTTTAAAATTCAAAATTTTTATTTTACATTAAAATTTGCGATAAGAATGCTTTAATAATGATATAGAAAATCAATTTTTATTTTAAAAATTATAAATTCGAGTTGTATTTTATACATACTTTTCTACTGCATTGTAGATACACTGGTTCTTTGCATTCTATACATTTGTAAGCGGTCCCCCCCCCATTTTTTTTTTTTTTTTTTTTTTTTTGTTTTTTTTTTTGTTTTTCTCGGTGGACAAATATAGCACATTTTTTTTTTATCTAATTGATCGTCTTCGAGCGCAATGTTTCCTTCATCATCATTTATTCCGAAAAATATTCTCATTGTTAACTTTGAGTTCTTTAGGTAAAAATGATGAAGTTATCCTCCCTTTTACATGAGACTGCACCAACTGAATTGCTAATGAAATCTTTTCGTTTCATTTTCGGAACCAATGGGATAAGATTGAAATAATACGAATGCATTTATTGCACATGTATTTAAGTTTCTGAAGAATATTGCCATAGGCCAACGTCGGGTTCTACGAGCAGTTGTATAGATTGAACGAAGAGTAATATTGTGACTACGAGTTCGAACACCCTTGTTGGGCACTTGAATAGACTATTTGAATTCATTTTTTCCAATAAAAAAATCTCTTGCAGAAGGAGAACATGGATTTTCATTTTTATCGGCAGATATTTCTTGAATTTGTGTCTTGGTCGCTCTCAATAATTTCATCATGGGAACTTTCATCGGAGAACTCTAAATTAGACCAATTTCGAACTATTTATTAACATTGGTCTTGAGTAAGATATATAGAACGTTTCCTGCACGCATTTGAAGCAATTTCAAGAATAGTTATAAAAAAATGAAATATATAACAACAACGAAAAGTGAACTTTATCGGCCGAAATATGAATCGTATCTGCTGTGATCGGTCCCACAGATCGCTGAGTGAAGGGAAATTTTAAAAAATAAAAGAAGAAATAGAGCTAGCCAAACGCAACTTGGTATGTGACCTTGGACAACTGTTTTAGGAAGGTCCTAAGAATGGCAATACCCATTAATTATTCTAAGAGGTGGAAGGATTTAATGGAAAATGTCGCGCGGTCTGACAGAACGCTCACAGCAGTTAAAGGTTAATCGAGATTATATATTTCAGAATTTAAAAAGTATTACGATTAGCAAGACGATGCGTTTAACTTCTTAGATAGTATATTTGCTCAATAATCGCCTATACAGGAACAGATAGTATTACTGAGCGTTTATTTAACGTATGTTTTGCTTTGCTTGTGACGTGGCTTATCTTACCTGCAAAACATAACTTGAAATTATGAATCAAATAAAACAATATCCCCTTCGAAATTGAATTTCGCTGCACTGAAACTGAAAGCATGAATTACTTTCGAGTTAGCGACAAGATATATTTTCAGTAGAATGCAGTGAATTAAAAGATTCGATTTTGTTCATTAACCCAAACTTGGTAATCATGTAGTATGAGATCAATCGCTTTCAGTTATTTATTTACTTATCAGATGGCTCCATTAAACGTTGTTTTTAAATTCGAACATGCGATAAAGTAGCGGTACGAACTTTAGTGCAACCATCTTAAAAAAACTGAAAGTGGTAGATCGCATACTACATGATTACCCGAAATGGTAATTTATATAGCAGTTTAAACACAGATTCATATTTAAACCAGATTAAAATACTGTATTCATCATAGAATGTGCAGAACGTTTAGGAGGAAGCAATGAGTTAAATTATCGCAACACTACATTTATTTATAAAATTCTCTACTGTGCTTCCTTTCAAATCGTAAATATCATTCTATCACTTTTTTTTCAGCTCGCCGTATGACTTCACCAATCTTTACTTCGACGGAGTATAGCCAATGGTTGACAAGGGCACCTTCCACATCTGCCTTGTACGACCGAACCAGAAAAGCCCCAGGAGTTAGACCTCAACTTCCCCGAAGCGTCCATAGCGCCGAATCACTTTTAGACAGATTGAAACAGGTAGGTAATTGCTATGATTTTAACACAGGGAATGATATTATGTCAAAAAATGTTTTGTTCATTTGTCACATGTGAATTTTAGGAACTAATAACTTAAAGAAATTTAATGCTGTATTTCAAAAATTTTCCCAAGCTATTATTCGATGGGCAAAACATTAGGTCAAAATATCGAGTGACTCTTATTTCAAATATCTACCCTTTCGGGTACTTTTCCGTTTTGCCGGCGTAGGCGATCATGTCGCCAATAATGGTACAACTGATGCCAAACGGAATATCCTCGCTGGTAACCTTTTACGCCTCATTTTCAAAACACGTAGCAGCCATTTCTTATCAGATTGATTGTTTCTTTCAATACTGGCATATAATTACATAGAAATTTTTACCCAGATACTTCAGTTTTATGCCCTAAGGACCATTCGTGGTAATTAAATTAATTAGGATGCAATCACACCGCTCGCCGCGAAAGGCGAAAACTATAGGAAAGGCAAAGTCAAGAGTTAAATTCATTAATTCTAATAAGAATGCACTAGCGAAGTAACATCACTGCGGTCTTACATAATTCCTGAGTAAGCTATTCGTACGAATGAAATAATTCTTGTATTTAAACTTGTATTCCAAATTAAGATTTAACTTAAAATTAATGTAGATAATTACTGAGAGAATTAGATTTCTGTGGCGTAGTTTACGTGAGATGAAATCACTTGGGGTCAAGTGATATGAACCGGCGAATCAGGATATTGAACCATGAAAGCACACTAAATTCTTAAATTAATATCTTTTTACAAATTTATTCTCTTTATTTACTAGCTTTTTGCAAAATTTTAAACGATATTAAAATGCTTATGCCTTCAAAATAAAAAATTCTTGTAACTAACATTTGTTACAATTTTATATGTGTATACTGTATGTTGTCGCCAATAAAGTCTCCTTGACGAGATTTGCGCCGGCGAAACGGAAAAGTACCGTTTCAGTCTTAATACAAGGGGAAGCAATGAGTTAGACTGCATACTGATTCTTAACATGCTGTGTTACCGAAAAAGCATAGCACATCCTACCCTTTGCTGGAAAAGTGTTTCCCCTTGGCAGTAGCATAATTTAATGTGAATTAATGTTTATTGAACAACTGATTTGCATGTCGCAGGATTAGATATGCACTCAGTTTCCGGCTAAGGCATCTATGTATTTAACCTATAATTTAAAGAGTGTGCTGCATATTGAATCACTAGAAATGAGAAATCATATTCAGTGCAAGCGCAATACGAGTACAAATGTAATTTATGCCTGACATAATGCTATTTGAATAAGCTAACTCCTGTCATGCGACTTCAATTTACCTCGTTAATGTAGCTAAAGAAAATACTAATAAGCAATCTATTTTAGTCAAGGTTAAAATTTCTATAAAAAAATATCATTTCAAAGCGCACAATACTTTTTCTTCAATAATTAAAGCGTTGTAGCAAAGAAATGTTTACAAGTATTGTAGAGTCATTAGGCTATTTTGAAGCAGAAGTACATGAGCAATGCCACCGCTCGGACTGGAACCTGGACCTCTCGAATACGCGCCAAGAGTGCTACCGTTACACCATGAAGGCATGCCGGAAGGAGATATAAAATACCTTATAGTATTACAATAACCGTGGAAAATAGTTTTCTTTTTCCCAACATTTTTCTTTTATTTACTGGAGACAAAATTTTCAGTTTTGGAATTTCTAACGATGAAAAAAATCTCTAAAAGGATCTCTAACGATGTCAAAAGCATTTGCATTTAACTCTAAATAGTACAAAATGCACAACCGTTATGAATTACGCAAAATTTCAGATAACTCTGGAATTTAGAAATTGAGAAACGAATTTTAAGTTATTGTTACATATGGATGTCTTGTAATTCAACACTTTCTTCAATATAACAGATTTTTAACAAATACTCTCTGCAAATAGAAGACGTGATCATCTCAAAGGCACTACATGAATAATCAGTTTTAAAACTCAGACAGGAACTTAAGTTATTTAGAAACCAACTTAAAGAAGTTTCGTAAAAAAAGTAGGCTAAACATCGTTTTTCAGGGAAAAAAATCAATTATATTTATCAGCATGATTTCTGTTAATTAAAGCGTTTTTTTCATTCTTTAATAAGAGTAGATATTGTCAAAGATTGCAAAATATACATTGACAGTTGTGATAGCATCTATATTCCCCGAGAGTTTCTCCGCAACGAGCCAAGTTTTACTGTTTCCTAAGACAGAAAACAATGCTAAGGTTTAAAGCTGAAGAATATGGTGGAAATGAAATAAATTGGAAAAATAGCTTACGCGATTTTTCTCTTGGCGATTGCCAATTTAGGAATTGTGTGTTACTGTGGTGAAAGAGAACATTTATTTGCAACAGTCTCGGCCCTTTTTCGCTTTATCTTTTCTTTCAAACAGTCTAATAGCCCACCAGCGGCCGAGCGGTAAAGTCGCTGAACACCTGGTAGTTCGGTCCAAGGTTCGATTCCCGCGAACGGGCTGGCTGCATGGGTGTTTTCGTGGTTTTCCCCATGTGTAACGTGTATACGAGCTAGTTTCCCTTAGAACGTCCTCCACGAAGGCATCCCTCCCCTTAGGCAGATAGCCCTAGTGTGCTTTGCCATAATTAAATACACCACACCAAACAGTCTAATAATGGGGCACAGTAGGTCCTAGTACTGATGTTTCCTTCTCCAAGTATTCAACCGTAGTCATTCCTTCAAAACACCGAAAGCAGATATCCTTCATGTGCTAGCCCTCGCCAGCTTTGCAATACCAGTTACCTACCAGCTTAGCTAAGTTTAATATGAAGAATGATGTTTCATGATTTCCCTTTTCGTATACGTAAATGTCGAGGTCAATATCTTCGAAAACTTTCCTTAAAAGATGCTACTTTCAAAGGACCGTAATCATAGCGTCTATAACCTTTGCGTAAATCAAATAAACCAAATCTACCGAACACCAAAAAACAGCAACCAGCACTTTTCCAGTCGCCGAAAAAACTTCCTCTTTCTTCGACGCACTTCTACCTCTTGCAGCATGCTGCACTTGATTTAGGTGTGTAATGATGGGTCTCTGTGCATTAAGAGACACGAGCCGACGCCTGCGGATTGTAGACACGCGTTTTAATGTGGTAAGTCGCATGTGTTACTAGCGGTTGTTTTTTTCATTTTTTTTAGAATATCCTCCACGAAAGCATTCTTCCCGTAACACTGTGGTTTGGAGTAAATAAATCAACCAATTTAATCTCCAGCTTTCCGATAATCTACTACCTACTTGCCTATCTATGTTTCATATGAAGAATGAGATTTCACGCATTTCCTTTTCGCATTCGTAAATGTCTAAGAAAATATTTTCGAATTTTTTCCTCAAGAGATACCTTTCTCACAGGACGATGATCATTGCGTAGATAACCTTTGCGCTAAATCAAACGATAGAACTTTTATTGACTTGACAGTTAACGATTGTCTCAAGCGTGGAAAGAATTTTGCTTTATTATAGAGATAGAAGGAGGAAGTAGAAATGTTATTACCAAATCCTATTCAGCCCCCAAGGCACGCACCGGTAGTATCTGTGGCTAAGTGGGTCTTTTAGAAGAAATAGTGGGGCAAGTTGTGTTTTGTTAAATCGAAATAAAATGGTAATGGCTTTACCGTAGGTAAGGACGAAGCCACAGAAACTGTTCTTTTCCGATTAAAAGAATACGCTTCTCTCTGTGAAAGAGGGGAAAAAACATGCAACCCTAAAAACGAATAATTGAAGGGGAAAGATGACTAACCGAAAGTAGAAATAGAGGAAATAGAGAATTCCCTATTAAAACAGAGGAACCAAGCTTGTACTGATAGATGGCAAAGAGCCAATTGCTTGAGTTGTTTCGCTTTGTGTTATTTTTGAACTTCGTAATAAAAGTAATTGGTCTTGTTCTCGTTGCTAATCATCCAGCAGGTATGTTATTTCGCATAGGGGAATTTCCAAGATCGATATCCACATATGACGTCTAAAGAATCGCAAACAACGAAAAAGAAATGGCCTTTTCATCTCAGTTAATTTAAACTTCAGTTCATTTAATTGCAAATTTTGTATACCTTTCAGCAATTTCTTAAGCGTAATATTAAACAAATAATAATTATGTAAGCTCTGGTAAGATTTCACCGCAAATTGCCAACAGCTTTGATTTTACAACTTAAGGCCAATGATCTGATGATTTAAATAACAGTTGACTGGTTCGTTGATTTGTTGCATAATTGGGTAATTTTAGAGTTATTTCGCATAGGGGAATTTCCAAGATCGATATCCACATATGATGTCTAAAGAATTGCAAACAACGAAAAAGAAATGACCTTTTCATTTCAGTTAATTTAAACTTCAGTTCATTTAATTGCAAATTTTGTATACCTTTCAGCAATTTCTTAAGCGTAATATTAAACAAATAATAATTATGTAAGCTCTGGTAAGATTTCACCGCAAATTGCCAACAGCTTTGATTTTACAACTTAAGGCCAATGATCTGATGATTTAAATAACAGTTGACTGGTTCGTTGATTTGTTGCATAATTGGGTAATTTTAGAGTTATTATTGCCTAGTATTATGCCTCATTGTAGTTTGAAAAGCATGTAATCTATTTACAGATTTTTCTGTGTAATCAATTTGTATTATATCTTCTAGTAAACTACATTATATCTATCAAGAACGAAGTAGAATTAATAATTGACAAAATTCAGCCTTTATTTGCCGCTAATGTTTTAATAAAAAATTATTCCTTTTTAAAACTATTTGAATGTTTTCTGCTATTTACTTACAAGCTGGTGTGCATTTTTTAAATTCATGTAAAAATTCAGTACGTTAGATTCTTGTATCATCTAATTATAAATGTTTTATATTGTCAAGTAAAATCATTGCAGAGAAAAAGATAGCCATTGTTCCTTGAAGTATCTTAACAACACCAGGCATCGCACTTGGTGGCTCAGAAATCCCTTCCTTAAGATAAGCGCTAT